ACCTGCCGCTTGTCAAGCCATGCTGTGGCAGGAGTCCCATATAAAGTAGAGGTAGAGGGGCACAGATGTTAGCCCAGGGCCAGTCATCCTCAGCAAAAAGAGGAGGATTGGCCAAGATGAACAGACAACCCACCAGCTGGGAGAGAATATTTGCAAAACATACATCTGACAAGGGGTTGATCTCCATAATATATAAAGAACTCACACAACTGAACAACAAAAAAACAAACAACCCGATCAAAAAATGGGCAGAGGAAATGAACAGACACTTCTCCAAAGAAGATATACAGATGGCCCATAGGCACATGAAAATGTTCAACATCACCAATCATCAGGGAAATGCAAATCAAAACAACACTAAGATATCACCTCACGCCCGTTAGAATGGCTATAATCACCAAGACAAAAAACAACAAGTGTTGGAGAGGATGTGGAGAAACAGGAACCCTCATATACAGCTGGTGGGAATGCAAACTGGTGCAGCCTCTATGGAAAACGGTACGGAGATTCCTCAAAGAATTAAAAATAGAGATGCCCTATGACCCAGCCATCCCACTACTGGGAATCTACCCAAAGAACCTGAAATCAACAATCCAAAGAGGCTTATGCACCCCTATGTTCATTGCAGCATTATTCACCATAGCCAAGAAGTGGAAGCAACCCAAGTGTCCCCCGAATGACGATTGGATTAAGAAAATGTGGTATATATACACAATGGAATACTACTCAGCCATAAAAAAAGACAAAATCGTCCCATTTGCAACAACATGGAGGGGCCTGGAGCGTATTATGTTAAGTGAAATACGCCAGAGAAAGACAAACACTGTATGATCTCACTTATACATGGAATATAAACCCACGCATGGACAGAGAAAACTGTATTGTGGTTACCAGGGGCAAGGGGGGTGGGGGGTGGGCACAAGGGGTGAAGGGAGTCATATATACGGTGATGGACAAACAAAAATGTACAACCCAAAATTTCACAATGTTAAAACTAGTAAAACATCAATAAAAAAAAAAAAGAGGAGGACTGGCAACAGATGTTAGCTCAGGGCTAATCTTCCTCACCAAAAAAAAAAAATTTTTTTAAGAGAATTTATAAAAAGAATTTCGAATTTATTTATTTTGATTTTTAATGGCATTTGTCATTATGAATTATAGTTACTCAGTCCATGAAATACTTTAGACTTTCAAAACTTAGTGAGGACCGTGGTGTCTGCTCCCACTTATTTCCAAATACAATTAGGGGGTTATTTAACTACTCTGCCAAGAACTAAAAAGAATTAAGTTATCTTTAAAACAACTCACCATTTTCAGTCACATTTAGAAAAAAAAAATCCTCCGTCAACAAAGAACAAGATAGAGTTTGAGAAAGTGATGTTTTTACATGACATATTACATTAAAAGAGATAATCTTTATTGCAAAGGGGACAAAACAGATTTGTCTTATTATTAAGACATCTTTTGTTGTACTTATTTATTTCAGACCCCTATTTTAAAGAATAAAGAATCATACAACACAACTGTTTTTGCTTAACATCATGAGCCAAACTACAAAACACAACACTGAGTGTTGAAATGTGCTCCCTGTTCTCCCCAGAATATTCATTCCATTTCCTTTCTTCTCAGTATCAAAAGTACCACGATAGTGGTGCTATAATAATATAGCACCTGGGTCCGGCCCCGTGGCTTAGCGGTTAAGTGCTTGAGCTCTGCTACCAGGTTCGGATCCCGGTCGCACATCGACACACCAGTTGTCCGGCCATGCTGAGGCGGCATCCCACACACAGTAACTAGAAAGGATGTGCAACTATGACATACAACTATCTACGGGGGCCTTGGGGAGAAAAAGGGAAAAAAAAAATACACCTACGTAAAAAAAAAATAATAATAATAATATAGCACCTGGCCAGGGAGTTTGGAGACAACCAAATTCTAGATCTAGTTTGCCTTGCCACATACTAGCAGTGTAAACCTGACCAAGTCAGTTCACCCCTTTAGGCTTCAATAAAATGAGGGAATTGGACTAGACAATCTTTAGAGTCCATTCTAGCTCTCAGATTTAATGACGGCTAGAAGTTTTTTAAAGTTGACCAGTTGCATCAGGTGATATAGATAACACAGAATTAAGTTCAAAGAAAGGATTAATAGATTTAAGCAATTTTCAGAAAAAGCAATTTTCTTTCTCTTGATCGTTTCTTTTAAAATAATAAATTAGGGGCCAGCCCCATCGCTTGGCGGTTAAGTGTGCGCGCTCCACTACTGGCCGCCCGGGGTTCGGATCCTGGGCGCGCACCAATGCACCGCTTCTCTGGCCATGCTGAGGCTGCGTCCCACATACAGCAACTAGGATGTGCAACTATGACGTACGACTATCTATTGGGGCTTTGGAGAGAGAGGGGGGAAAAAAGGAGAAGGATTGGCAATAGATGTTAGCTCAGGGCCAGTCTTCCTCAGCAAAAAGAGGAGGATTGGCATGGATGTTAGCTCAGGGCTGATCTTCCTCACAAAAAATAAAATAAAATAAAACAATAAATTATTTGTGGGTTACAAAAATGAAAGCTATTTCAGTGAAGATGAGCAAGTTGCTAATTAGCTTCCATATTCATCATGAATTGACTTATAGAGTCTGTCATTTGACTTTTGGCATAAAAATTTACCTAGTCCATAAAATGTTATTTTCTGATGAGACTTTGGTGCTTTAGAAAATGAAGCTGTACATGGTTTGAGAAAATATAATAAGCCATGAAAGGAGGAAGTAAAGTCCTGCTCTTTGTACACCAAGAGATTTTCCCAAGCTTTTCCTGAAGATTAGGATGAGGGTGATGTTGGGAGAAGGGGAAATGGTCAGCAGAGGGGGGACATAGGGAGCAAAGGTGAGCTGGGGCAGATAAGTAAAAAGACTAGTCACAAACTTCACGATTTACCTGCTAAAAGCTTTAAGGCACAACTGAATGATTATGCTTGGGGAAATATTTATGGATTTTACAATGGGGGAAAAGCACCTGTAATAAGAACCAAGATCACTAATAAATCAGGAATTCTCACTTTAAAAAAAAAATGGCTATTGTTTTCCGTGTTTTCAAAATCTTAGCTGAAGATCAAGTTTCTCAAGTAGAATAGAGTTGAGAATTGAATCGACTACCTGGGAAATTCTGGTGAAATTGAGGTATTTTCATTATTATTCATGTAATTTAATTTTCTGCTTAACTTGATCAGTCTTGCTTAACTTGATTTGAATTATCACTTCCTGGGGACTGAAGACTTCTAGAGAACAGAGAGCGCTTTCCTTTATAAATTCCTTTGGTAATATTTTAGTGTGACTCAGAATCAAGCAGTGTCTTATACACGGGCACTCTGCATCTATGAAAAGTGGTATTTCATACAATTCTGTGAATATGAGATGAAAAACAGTTCCACTATGATGTAATTTCTTAAGTCGAAAGCAGGAGGAATGAGAACTAGTTACTCCAATATCCAGAGCCTCCCTCTGTTTCCTTTGGTTAAGTGCTGAGAATAAACGGGGCGGGGGTGGGGAGGGTCTCCACAAAGGAGAGTAAAGTTTTTGAAAATCCCTAATAAAGCACAATCTCTGTCTCATCCCTAAAGTTGGACCTACCAATAGCCCTAATCCCAGATGGCTTCAAATGGTAGAGGCAACTGTGAAGTGGAAACAGATATGAAAACACTATTTTTTAAAAACCCCATTTGTTCCCTGCCACCGCCATCCATACCTCTTAGAGGCTAGCCCAAAGGAAAACCTAAATTTATATTTGTGGAATTTTTTTTTTAATGAATGAATCATCTGAGTGTCTGTAGTAGATTGTTTGCAGAGATGAGTGCAATAAGTCCTCCCACCCTGCTTCTATCTTTTCTTGGATATCCATTAGAGGGCAAAGAACAATGACACTAATTCCCAAGTTAGATGTGGCCAGACGTGGTGACAGACCAAGGAGAGAGGTCCCTTCCACCCAAATTACCATTAAGCTTCTATAAAAAGCCATGTAAGAGGCTGGCCTGGTGGGGTAGCAGTTAAGTTCGCCACAGGTTCGGATCCCGGGTGGGGACCGACGCACCGCTTATCAAGCCATGCTGTGGCAGCGTCCCATATAAAGCAGAGGAAGACGGGCACGGATCTTAGCCCAGGGCCAATCTTCCTGGGCAAAAAGAGGAGGATTGGCAACAGATGTTAGCTCAGGGCTAAGCTTCCTCACCAAAAAAAAAAAAAAAGCCGTTTACAAACCTGCCATGGACATTACCAAATTGTCATCATTGGTTCTATTACGGTAATCCTTTGAAACAGAAATCACTAAAATTACTTGCTCCAGGTCACAAAGAAATCAAGTACGCCTCAGAACTCTGAGCTCTTCTCCCAGGAGAAAAGCCTGCACCCTGGACCGTCAGGGTCTGCAAAGGCTCTTTCAGACCATCCCTCCGGGCCAACCCCTCATTCAGGTCGGTGCTGACAGAAACACAAACGCCAGGAGCCGGAAACGTGGCCAGGGAGATCCGCCTTTGCTCCAGGCACCGTTAGAAAGAATCTCAAGGGTCACCACATGCGACACTCAGGAGGGAGACACGCCCCGCCCGCACTGCCGTGAAGGGAGAGCGTGGGGGGGTGGCCTGCGGTCACGGACGGGGTCTTTCCTCTCCGGGTGCAGGCGCTGGATTCCCCAGGACGAAGCGCGCGGGGGTGGGGAGTGTCACCCTGGTCTTCCGGGCGCTTTAAATCGGGAGGCGCCGTTGATACCCGAGAACCCAGTCAACGTCTCGGGATCGAAGCTGCGCCCACCCCCAGCAGGCTGGGCTCCAAGCCCCGTTAGCCTTTCTTGGAGCATCTTCCAGAAAACGGCCACCCCAGCCGAAACACGTCCCGCCTCCAGCCCCAGGCCCGGCCTGCCCTGGAGAAGCGAGGACTGACAACCGCTAGGCGGTCGGCGCCCCGGCCGGGGAATCCCGGGGGCCGGCGGCTTCGCCCAGGCCCCCGCACGCTCACTCACCAGCTTGGTGGCCCGGTACGGCCCGGGCCCCACGATGCGGTGCTCCATGGCCCGCTCGCCGGGGCGGCTGCGGCCGCGCCGGCGCCGATCGCCGAGAGCCGGCGGCGCCGCAGTTTGAATCGCGAGCCTGCGCGCTGCGGGCGCTGATTGGCCGGTGCGGCGTCACGTGACGGGAACTGCGGGGCGGGGCCGCCGGGCCCGCCCGCGGGGCGGGCGGTGGGCTGAGGGGCCCGCCTCCCGTCCACGACCTCCTGCCGCGGAGAGCTCTGTGGGCTCACGCCCGGCCCGGCGCAGAGTCGGCCGCCCTCCGTGGCCCGCCGCGCGCGCACACCAGGGGCGGGTGCGGCCTGGCCGTGCGGCGTGCCTCCGCTGGGGCCCCGCTCAGGCTTCCCCGCCCCCCGCCCGCCCCGCGCACACACGCTTTCTCTGCAAAAGGGTCCATGAAGTTGTGTAATTCAGAGACCGGAACCTGGCTGGACTAGATAGACAAGTCCCTGTCGGCCCTTCCAAGTGCACCGTGAATCTGGAGGTGCTGCTAAGATTGGGAGAAGTGGGTCGTGACGTGAAGCGAGTGGACAGCCTCTACAAGTGGAGAGACATTTAAAAACTAGATAAGTGCTCTTGGCCACAGAGAGTGTCGACAGCGTGGAAGAACAATAAAGAGCTGGGAGCGAGCCCAGATTCAGCTTCCTGTACTGTTCTTTTGGTTGAGTAGTCTTTCCCTTGAATTTGAGTTCTCTGTTTTGTGTCAGACTGAAAATTTGAGTCCTTTGCCATAGGGCCAAGTTCTTTTGCTGCTCAGAATTTTCCCCCTGGAAATTGGTGGTCTGCTTTGCAATTGTTCAAAGGGACAAATGAGGTCATCACTCTATACCTATGACTCGAATTCAAAGTTCAAAGCTAGTCACCTCAGTGAGTACCCAAGATAAGACGTCGTAAGACAGAGCTGAGTAAAGGATCCGATTCCCGCCTTATCCCACGTACATAACCCTCTTCTTCCTTTACTGGTTTAGGTATGTATTTAGTTGCAGTTTTAGAAAGCCCAAAAATTCCTGGTATGATACATATGTGTTACTTCTGTAATCAGAAAGAGCAATAAAGATCATTTTTACTTCCAATGAGTGAATCCTTCTCAGAACTTTTTTTTTTTTTTTGTACCTCCGAACTCCATGGAAGAGATCTGCTTGTCCTTAGCAAGTGATACCAATTGGGCACAAGAGACAGAAGGAAGAAAGGAATTTCGGAGCCTTGGGGATCTGAGACCTGCCACCACCTGCTGTGGTGGTGGCACTGGCATCTGATACAAAACATCATGCCCTGCTGCCTGAGCATTTTCCCAAGAATCCATCATGAGCCATAGACAAGATAATTCTTTTACTGGAAAGGCATATCTCCAAATGATCTACATATCAGAGGCCACAAAGACAGCCTTGGTGATTGTAGTTTAAATTGGGCTGAGGATCATCAGTCTTTCAGCATCACATAAAAACAACTGAGAAATTTCTCACCCTCTCTGTGCCCTGAAAAAGTGTTTTCTGCTTTTCTGGCCTAGCTCCAGCCATGGTGGTCTTCTTTCTGTTCCTTCAACATACTAAGTTTGTTCCCACCTCACAGCCTTTGTTCTGTGCCCCTGCTAGGAATGTTCTTGCCCCAACTCTTTGCAAGCCCTTCTCCATTTCATCATTAGGTCTCAGTTCAAATGCTGCCACCCTAGAAAAGTCTTCCCTAACCTTCCTATGTAGACAAGTCTCACCCCCCCAACACTACTCTTGCACTGTTTCTCTCTCTTGCACTGAGAGCACTTATCTGTATCTGGAATTGTTTTTCATCTTCTACTTCTACAGTAATGGTTATCAAATAAAGGGATTCCACCTTCTGGGAGCATTTTACACATTTGTGGGATTGTTTTCCGGTTTTCAAAAAGATAGGAGGGCACTGCTGGTATTTTGTGGGCAGGAGCCAGGGGAGTTAGATGTCCTGTGATGCTTAAGTCGGGCTGCACAACCAACAATTGCCACGTGTTCTGGATGACTTTCTAGTGTCTGTCCCACTGGACATTCAGGTAAGTGAAAACCTAGAACCTAACTCTATTTTACATGCAAATAAAAAATGTTTTCAGCCAGTTTTAATAGACACTGAAGTCTTTAGGAATATTATACTATTTTGTTTAGGAGTGTACCAGAAGTTGCTCGCCATCTCAGAAAATCATGTCTATAATGGCAACGCAGTTTGTGGTGTTGGCGACACATATCCGTGTCCTTCTGCATCTGGAACTGTTGAATTCATGGGAATTATACCTACTGATGTTATATACTTATTTAGTCCTTATTTCAAAATGTCAGATATTAAAAAAAATGATGACAATATTCAGTTGACTTCGTCTTTACTTCTCTTCAATCCAAATCTATTTTTGTAAGTACATGCAAGTACTTGCCTATTTCATTATATCTTCCTGATGTAATCATCTTAGGTATTTATTTAAATTTTGAAATGAATATTGCTTTATTATAAATTACTTCCTTTTTATTTCACCTGTATAAAAGAATATTATGTTAATTTTTCGTTATGTGTAGGTTGATTATCTGTGAATTTCATTTCAGCAGAGTAAAAAGAGTATTGGCTTTGATCCAGTTGCAAACCATTGCTCTGGTCTAGAATATAAATTTCATGAGATCGAGGACCTTTTGTCTCCCACTGTATCCCAGTTTCTAGGACAGTATCTGATACATTGTAGATACTCAAATAAAAAAATTTTTACGTAAATGATATGTCTTTGTTTTAATGTAAAAATATTTTAACTTACTCAAGTAAAACTGAAGCAGAGAGAGATCGCACAGTTTATCCTGTGACTTTCCATGCCTCAGTATATCACAATCTTCTCTCCCTCTCCATAGGTACCCCAGTTAAACACCAAAAATGCTAGTTTATTTTTTTTTTTCTGATAGACTAATAGCTATTGTAACTAATATTTATCTCTGACTTATCTACTAGGAACTTAGAGCCAAATTTGTGACCAATTCCTAACAACTATAAAGAATGTAATGGTGACTTCTTTTATTTTTCTGTCTTTATTTTCTATTTATTCTATGATATTATATAAATATATTGTAAGCTGCCTCAGTTCCTTTTTGGAAGGAGGTACCCACTTCTTATAAGAAATAAATTACAATCCTTACATTTGATCCTCAGAACTATTTGGATATATATAAATGCGAATAAGCCCTTTTTACTGATGAGGAAGCTAAGCCTCAGAGAGGTTAGGTGACTTGCTTAACCAGAGAGGTTAAGTGTCCCGCAGCCAGTAATTAACAGAACTTGGAGTTGAACCTAGACCTTCTGCCGCCAAGGCCTGTGGAGTTTGGTTTGCTTTGGTTTGGTTGCTTGGTTGGTTGGTTTTTACTCATATCTTCAGGAATCAAAAAGGATAATTTTCAAATATAAAGGAGAATTTTGCATTTATATTTATGCAAAGAGACATTTCAGGAGTGGGGGAAGAAAAAGAGAGAAACCTTTCATAAACCTATCCAAATGACCCTTCCCGGGAATCAGTTTCATAAAAATCACACACTTGAATTCTTTTTCAACCCTCTGATTATGGTTTGGCTTGTTATTATTTTTGTGGCATTTATTAATTGGGATTTATTGCATATGAAGTATATATTTAATCAGACTACTACCCCCCAAGAAAGTTGAACTCTCAGTTATGTCCCATTTAATTCATTAAAATTCATTTCCACATTCCAAGTGTCGCAATTTTAATAAATTGCTATGCTCTTCTCTGGCATATTTAAGTGTGAAGCCATCAAGATCTCATAGAAACTTTGACCCAGTCTCAGAACATCTTTATAAGGTGAATAGTAGCACATTGAGGACTGCCGGTTTTACCATCAACACCTGACTTATCACTGGCATTAGGAAATTCCAAGCTGTGGAGCAAAAAGTAATATAGGCATCAAGTATATTGCAGGGTTGGAAGCTGTGTTTCTCAATCACACTGAGTAGGGAGTGGTTGGGAGCCCTGCCTTCAGGCCCCAGAGGGATTGCCCCGTTCAGTCCTTCTGCTGCATGAAAGGTCTCCCAGCCGGTTGGATGGGTCATTTTGAAAGAACTCCTCTGCTGAAACCCAAGTCTCTCACTGCTTACATTAGTCTTGAGCCTTTCGTATTGTAGTGCAACTACATTCAGTCGTTTGATGGCATTTAAGTCATCAAGATGGTCCATTTGCTGAGGTTCTTGAAAGTTGTAAAATCCGTGACTTGATTTCCAAGGCCACTGGTCTGTACTTTCATCACTCTACTGGGAAATGTTCCCCCCAGAACTTGTGTTAATACTATTCGTTAATAGGGGCATCATATTCTTTAAGGTGTGGGTGAAGAAGAAAGGATAAAAATATGTGGAAAATATAAAACCATAGTATTTCATTGAAATCGTTGAATAATATTTTTATTTCAGCATTTAAAAAACAAATGCCATGGGGCCAGCCTGGTGGCATAGTGGTTAAGTTTGTGTGCTCTGCTTCTGGTAGCCCGGGGTCCGCAGGTTGGGATCCCAGACACGGACCTATGCACCGCTTATCAAGCCAAGCTGTGGCAGGCGTCCCACATAGTCCAGGGCCTCAGAAAAAAAAAAAAAAAGAGGAGGATTGGCAACAGGTGTTAGCTCAGGGCTAATCTTCCTCACACGAAAAATAAATAAATAAAAATAAATAAACAAACAAATGCCACAAAGATGGGGCCGGCCTGGTGGTACAGTGGTTACGTTCGCATGCTCCGCTTCGGCGGCCCGGGGTTCACAGGTTCAGATCCCAAGCACGGACCTATACACCGCTCATCAAGCCATGGTGTGGAAGTGTCCCATATGCAAAATAGAGGAAGATGGCACAGATGTTAGCTCAGGGCCACTCTTCCTCAAGCGAAAAAAAGAAAAAAAGAAAGAAGATTGGCAACAGGTGTTAGCTCAGGGCCAATCTTCCTCACCACAATAAATAAATAAGTAAATAAAAATAAATGCCACAAAGAAATAGAGAATTTACATCTATTCATTCATTTATTCAACATGTGTGAGTTCCTACTCTGTCAGGCACTGCTCCAGTCACTGGAATACTGCAGTAGAAAAAACAAAGTCCCTATTTCCAGAAGCTGACATCCTAGCAGAG